AGCAAAAGTCATCCAGCAGGTTTTGCCTCCACTGGTCAAATCTAACCTGCAGTTTTGATTGTGTCTTCTTACAGGTGTGCAGGAGACAAGCCCTAAACCAGGCTAGGGAGCTCCACAGGACAGCTGTGCAAATGCTGTGACAGGCTGGGCTCTGGCAGCTGCTTTTCTGCTTTTCACCAAGTTCCTATTGCCCAGTACCAGCAGGAACCTGTCCTGCCCGTGGCTGGGCAAGCCCAGCCTGTATTTATTTCTCATTTGCTGTGAGTTAAAGCTCCCAGGGAGCAGCAAACCTGTGGGCTTCTCTGTCCCTGACCAAGAGCTCATCACACAGATTTGCTCCTCTAGGTCAGTGTGGGCTGAAGAGCCCTGAGCAAACACCCAGCAGCAGCCACACAAGGGCAGGGATGAGCCAGCCCCTGCCAGAACCAGAGGAATCCAAACAGCAGCAAGGCTCAGCACAGAAAGCAGACTCAGAGAGGCCCAGGAATGTTGCATTGCACAGACAGCCTGGTCTTCTGGGCCTAAAATATCCTCTGGCAGCTCCCAGAGCAGGTTATGGCCACTGGATCACGGCACCAATTCCTGTGGGAGCTGCTGCTCCTGCCAGGCCTCTGCACAGCACACGAGGAACTGCAGAGCCTGGTGCATCACTCATCTTCACAAGAGAAACACTGGCCAAATTCTGGCTCCAGCCATTAAAAACTGGAGTTTTGGAAGGCAGCTTCAGCCAGGCCCAGGTACATGACTGCTTGTATGAAAACAGAGGGCACAAACCTAATCTTGTGTCTTACACTGTGTCACCAAAGCCCTCAGAAACACCCACCCCAAATCAAACACTGCCTGTCTGAGACTTGAATTTTGTTTCTAACTCCCCCGGTCTGCCAGCCTGCAGGAGTGAACAAGCTGAAGCCACCCTGGGTAGCTGGGTTCATCAGGGATGTGTTGAGTTACACCACAAACTCCATCCCCGTGCCAAGCGGCACACACACAAAGCTGTGAAAGGACACGAGTGCCTCCCAGTTAATGTCACCTTCACAGCTTCCATAGGTCACAGCACAAGCAGACACCACTACAAGATGCCAGGCAGAACACTCTGAACAATGCCGCGAGCCCAGGGAGAGATGGGGAATTTAAGGGATGCAGAACAACAGGAAATAAGGAAAGTCCCTCCAGCAAAGGTCCTGTGGCCCATCAGTGGCTGCTCAGCACTGCAGTGACACAATGGAGTGACTGAATGGCCAGCATTCCCAAGGCCATTGTTGCCAGCACGGGAAGGACACAGATACAAACAAGAGCTGTGTTCCCAGGCAAATGAAATGACATCCACTGCAAATGAAATTACTTTCTGGAGCTCCCTGCATGCACCATACCATCCTAACTGGGAAATCATATCCTGAGGCAGGAAAAGCTGTGCCAGGAGGGGATAAAGAATCAAGCAACCTCCATGAGCACAGGCTAGTTTTTTGCCTGTGGTGGTGGCAAAACTGGATCAACATTAATTATGTTGCCTATGTGCTGGATCAACATCAATTATGAGGATAGATGGAACTTGAGCATCACTGCAAGGAAGGAGATCCCCTTCAGAGAGTCCTTGTCTGGCCTAGGGGATATATGGGAGAAGCAGAGGATGAGTCCCACCCAAATGTGATCTCAACAGAAGAGCATTGAGTCACAAGTCGCAACAGAAGAGATTCTAGAAGTCACAAGGCCTGGAGAAAGAAGAGGGATAATTTTACAGTCTCTTTGCTGGCAATAAAGCCCCTATAAGATCCCAGGGGAAACTGCTAGAAGCACCAGCTCTGGCCAGGAAAGGAGAAGCTGAACTGCCCTGGGCAGCAGGGTGGGATCCATGCTGGATAAAGACTGGCCATGCACGTAGAGGACACCAACAAGGGCAGCCCAGGGGATCCATGTGGTGCTTTAGCTCTCAAAACAGCTCCTCAGGGATTCAGAGCAGGGCGTTCTGGGCTAATCCCTGCGTCCCTCAGGGAACCTGAGGATTACTGCTCTACATCTGCTCCCAGGGCTGGGCCCCACCTTGGCCAGGCCGTGGAAGTGCTGACAGCCACCCTCAGCACTTTAATCGCTTTGGGACAAGCAGCAATGGGCTCTGTCCCCTGTGGGGCAGCACCTTGGGGCATTCACATTCTCTGAAAAATCCCTTCGCTCAGGGTTTTCCTCCTGGGAAGCTGAGAAGCCTCAGAGAAAAGGAAAACAATTCTTATCTCAATTGTTTTTCCTGTGTTTTGCTCACGTGGAATGTGTTTGGAGATTGTTTACCCACAGGTGATTGTTCCATTGGATTCTGCTGTGAGTTGTTTTGACTCATTGGTCAATCCATGCCAAGCTGTGTCGGGACTCTGGAAAGAGTCACAATTTTTCATTATTATCTTTTTAGCATTCAGCAAGTATCCTTTCTGTATTCTTTAGTATAGTATAGTATTCTTTAATATAATATATTATTATAAAATAATAAATAACCCTTCTGAGAACATGGAGTCAGATGCATCATTCCTCCCTGCCATGGGGAACCCTCCAAATACAGCAGCACCTCTAAGCCTCTAATGGCTTTTCTTGACTTTTGGTTGGGGCAGGAATGGCCCTCAGATTTTGTCTGGCAGCAACTTCAGAGCTACAGTGCAGCTTCCCTGCTGTAGTGGTTTTGGTTTGTTAATTTGAGGTTTTGTTAATTTTGAGATTTCTTGGTTAATGTACTGAAGATCATGGTGTGTTCGGAGATGGTTAATTATTAATGTGCTTATTTTTTGTTGTGAGATGGGATTAGGAGAAAGGTAAAGTGGGTTTCAAACTTTAAAAGGGTATAAAGAAAAATGTATTAATTATCTCAGACCTGTGATAACTCCTTCAACATCCCAGCATAAAGAGCTGCAAAAACCTGGGGTTTGTGCTGTTAGTTATGCACCAAGATCACCTGCTCGCTTCTCTTCCTGCTCTTCTCTCCCTCCTGCACTCGCCTGCCGGAGCTGGGGCACTGGTCCTTCCTCCTCCCTTTCAGACTGGGGATGCTGGTTTGGGATCAGCCCTGGTTGTCCCAGTCCCGGGCAGTCAGCCCCATCTGCTGGCTGCTAGGGAAATACGGGAAGCTCCAGGCGAAATTTAGGTTGGATTTTAGGAAAAAGTTTTTTGTTGAAAGAGTGATAAATACTGGAATGGTCTGCGCTGGGAGGCGGTGGAATCACCATCCATGGATGTGTTTAAAAAAGGATTGGTTGTGGCATTCAGTGCCATGGTTTAATTGAGGTGGTGTTAGGGCATGGGTCAGACTCAATGGTTTTAAAGGTCTCTTCCAAGCCAGTGATTCTGTGATTCTCCAGTAATGGACAGCCCTGCTTTTAGCCAGTCTTCTCCCTACCCTCTGTACAAGTCACAGGGCTGACCCAAATATGATGAATCTGACTCCATTCTTCTGCTGAAGCCACAAGTCACAGAGCTGACTCAAATAATTTAAATTATTCGCATTTACAAATAGGGAGTGTTAAATTGAAAAACATTTTATTAAAAAATGTTACAAATGGGACAATTCACATTTACAAATAGGGAGTGTTAAATTGAAAACATTTTATTAAAAAAATGTTACAAATAGGACAATACATATCAGGTTAAATGAGAGATTTTTAATTTATAATCATAAATTAAACATAAATTAAAAGAGTCTCATTTGAAGACTTTTAACAGCTAAAAAAAATCATATTTTCAATACATAAACATACAAATCTCAGTCTTCCATTTCATTCGTAAACATTATGCCAGTCATGCAATCCTTACAAACACTTCCCATTTAGTTTCAAATAAATTCTGATCAACAGCCACAGACCTACTCAAGAAAAAGTATTTTACAACACATGTACAGTTTAGAGCACAGAAATATCCACAATAAAAACTGCTCAAATAAATACATATGTATACACACATATTACAGTACAGAATCCCACAGGGATGAGATAATTTCAGATCTACCTGCTGTGTTCAGAAACCAGAGTACCCTGTGTAAGCACCATGGCTCCTAGTGCTGTTATATTTATAAAAAAAAAGGCATCTAAGTTTTCTGGGATATGCAGCAGAAATCCAAATAATTGCCCATATCACTGCAGGCATATCTATTGACTGCGATATAAAAATACAAACTGACTTCCACAAACCAGATCAATAGTTTCAAAGCTGTTCAGTGAATATTTTTCCATCCTGATTCTTCTGTTTCTGCAGGCATAACCCCTGTGACTCCAGAGGAGACACCCGCAGCAGAGTAGTAAGTGATGTGAAATAATGCATTTCTTCACCTCACCTTGGTACCTTTGAGTGGAGCAGAGGAGGAACCAGCCTCCTCTTTGGGCAGCAGTGCTCTGCTCACTCACCACCTGCACAGGAGATGGCAAGCTCCCAGTTCAGGATAAATACATGGCTGAATGGAGGCAGGATTTGGCCTCAAGGCCAGAGTTCTCTGTTTGTCTTCAATGGAAATACCAGACAGCTTGAGTTCAAGATTTCTGAATCACACACAAGGTCAATCATCTTGTCAGCAAAAGGTAAAAGCATCTGGACAGCTGCTGATTTGCAGGCAGTTTCATTCTCCAGAAATCTGAGATGTAAGTGAAAGTGGCTGCAATTCCTGTGGAGAGAACAAAATTCCTCCGTAAATCAGAAAACAGGCAGAGATTTGTATTTGCTCTCATCTCAGAGGAATTTTGTATGCAGCAGGTAGCAGAACTGCACAAAATTGTTCCTAATACCATTTGCAGCTGGACAGAATGCTGAGCACAATTATCCTTCAGGAGCTGAACAACCATTTCTACAGCAATAAATCCATCAGTCTTGTTAGGAACTGCCATGCAATGCCAAGATGCATATGAGGTGTCCCAAAGCACACATTGCTGTGTCAGCAACTGTACAGCAATTAGCAGCTCTGATTGATTGCTTGTGTGATTAAAAGGAGGAGAATTTGTGAGTGAAGCCATCACATGTGCTTACCTGAAGCACCTGGGTTAGACATTCTCCCCAGCACTTTGGAAGCTACCTTCACTGGCTGTTTCCTGCCAGTCCCTATAAAACAAAAAGTGAAAAGTACTTTAGTGACAACAGGTTTTTATCAAATGGATTTTAGCAAGGTGATGGCAGGGGTTTTTTTCATGTTGCTTTTTTGAGACACAACTTACCTGAAAGGAATAAACTTCTTTGCTGCAAGAAGAATAAGAAAATATATTAGTATTTCAAGACAAAAGCCCTAATTCTTGTTGTCTAAATATTTGGGGGTTTACTATTTTTTTTTCCTTTTCCAGATGTCCATCCAAAAGCCAAACATGGCATACATGGAGTGTACTTGAAAATAATTTTGGAATTTATATCTAAGTATGGGAATTGCTACTTTTTCAACAAGAAAGGTATAGAGCTTTTGTGGTTTGGAATTGGGTTTTTTCCTCCACAAAAGAAAACTTTTCAGGAGGATAAATAAAGCAGAGCAGGTGCTCACCTTTTCTCCGGAAGCGCCTTGCGAGCCAAAGGAGGAATGATGCTGTGGACAGCAGAGAGGCAGAGGTGGCTGCTATGCCCACAGAGATGTAGCTGGCTTGGTCAGAGGCTGAAAGGATGAAAAGATTTCAGTGAGATCAAGGGGTGGTCTTTGAAGCCCTCTCTCCTTCCCTTTCCTCATGCTCTTCAAGAGGAACCAGAACTGCAACTGGTAACGCTTAAATTTTTGCTTGCTGAAACAGGATTGTTCCTGTACACAAGGTAAAAAGCTGAATACTAAAAATTACCCCATCCATTGCCAAAGTAATGGCAAGGCAAGAAGCTCCCTACACCAGGGTCTGTCTCTAACCTCCAGCCTTGCATAGAAATTTGTGCTCCTCTTATTTTTCATGTTGCAGTGCATATTTTAACTCCCTCTGTGCTGTCTTCCTCTTTGGGCAATCCTGCTGAGATCAATGAAATTCTTCAAGGATCTAAATTCTGCTCAAGCAAATGAAAGTGGGATTGAGCTTTTAGGACCTCCAGCAAAAGCATTCCAGGCAGGCCAGGGGTGTTCCAGCTGAGGGCAGTGACAGAGCTCTTACTGCCTGAATGAGAAGGCAAGGCTGAGCTTCTGTCCTTTGAAATTGCAGCCTCTGAGAGAAAAGCTCTGGGAGGTCTTTAGGATGAGGAGTCCTTCCAAGAAACTATCACACCAAATCAAAAAACCTATAAAATTTTCCACTGAGAAACAAACTTATGAGTGCAGATTTCCCCACAAGGTTCTGCTTGTCTAGAAAAGCTTTTTTCTCTATTCACATGGAAAAAAGCTCATGGTGAGAAATGTTCTGTTTAAAAACCGAAGAGAAAGAACTGAAATCTGGTTGCAGGGGTTTTTTATAGATATATTTATATATAAGAAATCAATATTTTCCATCAAGATTTTTTAGGATTTTCTCCCTCTTCTATTTTCAAGCATAATGAGTGATTTTGTTGGGCTTTGCATACATGGACTTCTCTACATGTTCTAACTCACTGGTTGCTATTACCACCACTACCACCCTTCCACACCTCGTCTGACTAAAAATACAGTGCCACCTCTCTGTGGCTGCTCACAGGCAAAATACCTTCACATGTGGGCAGGCTGGCACTCCAGTTTCCTGAGGGGCTGCACTCCAGAACACGAGAGCCATTGAGACTCCATCCTTCCAGGCAGCTGAAGTGGCAGGAGGTGTTGTAGGTGAACATCCCGGCCCCGTGGGAGCAATCCATGGAGCCTTTCTCAGGAGAGCTCAGTGCTTCACACTGTATGACTGAAACACAAAAACATTTGGTTATTCCTCCTGTTTGTCACCCTGCACTGCTGTTTCCTCACGAGGATAAATGATCCCATCTTGGGATCTGCTTGTGAAAAGTGCTGGGGATCAATGCCACTCTTGGATTACATCTGACTGAGAAAGTCTCTCCAGATTCTTCCAACTTTAATCAATGATTTCCAACCCAGCAAGCCTCACCTTTGCATTTGAGCAGGGAGAAGGGAATTAGGAAATTACCTGCACACTGTGGCTGCTGCCTGTCCCAGGCCCCTGCAGAGCCACACTGCAGGGTAGCTGCTCCTGTCAGGGTAAATCCTTCCTCACAGCTGAACTCACAGGTGGTTCCCCAGGTGAGCTGCCCTGAGGGGTGGGAGCAGCTCACAGCCCCGTGGGCAGGCACTTCCAGGGCAGGACAGGTCACAGCTGAAAGGGACAAGAGCACAGGACTTAGCTTGGGGTAGGTCAGGATGAGCAAACACTGTTCTAGGAGCTGGCAAGAAGGCATTCCCTGCCTGGAGCTGTTCCTACAGAGCCAGCATATCTCCCTTCTAAGTGTCTCAGAAACAAATTTCAACAGGTTGTACAAGACAGCCAGAACCCTTAAATCTGCACCCAAAGCACACAAGTCATCCTGGGAATGGCTCCAGATTACACTCCACCCTGGAGTGCATAAACCAGCACTTGCTCCCATTTGGGGTTTAGGGAATAAAGAATCCCTGCCAGAACACTCCACTGTTAAAGTGTGGCATTGTGTGTGTTGGGGACACTGCCCCAGAGTGCTGTTTGTCACTCTGCACTGCTGTTTCCTCACCAAAACACGAGGATAAATGATCCCACCTTGGGATCTGCTTAGGAAAAGTGCTGGGGATCAATGCCACTCTTGGATTACATCTGACTGAGAAAGTCTCTCCAGATTCTTCCAACTTTAATCAATGATTTCCAACCCAGCAAGCCTCACATTTGCATTTGAGCAGGGAGAAGGGAATTAGGAAATTACCTGCACACTGTGGCTGCTGCCTGTCCCAGGCCCCTGCAGAGCCACACTGCAGGGTAGCTGCTCCTGTCAGGGTAAATCCTTCCTCACAGCTGAACTCACAGGTGGTTCCCCAGGTGAGCTGCCCTGAGGGGTGGGAGCAGCTCACAGCCCCGTGGGCAGGCACTTCCAGGGCAGGACAGGTCACAGCTGAAAGGGACAAGAGACAGCACAGAGCTTAGCTTGCAACAAACCATTTTAAGTCTTTTTCTTTTCTGACACTTAGCAACACATCCACTAAACAGGAGCAGGTTTAGAAAAGCTGCTACTATGGCATACTGCTATGCCACCATCCTACAAAGCAGACAGAAGGGGAAATATTTTATAATGGGAAACTGGCTCTTCAGGCAAGACTGTTAATTTATCCTTAGCTCATGACAGCAACTATTTACAATCCAAAATTTACCTATTTTGATTGTTGCTGGGTGACCTTTAATGCTTTCATTTGCTTAGAACAGTATCTTATTCTAAGTCAAACACCTCAGAAAATTATTCCTACAGTCAGGAGTAATTGAGAGCAGTCTCACAGCTAGGTCATCTCAATTCCCTGTTTCCACCTAAGAGTGGGAAAATTCTTTCCCTGCAAGGAACAAGGCCAGAACATTCACCCTACTCATCTCACCTTGTCAGGAACAGAGACCTGAGTGCTGAAATAAAATAGCACCTACATCACATAATGTGTTACAAAGGAATTGGGCAAACTCCATTTGTACCTACTGCCTGAGGTGTAGAGGGCCATGTGCCATGCAGCAAACTCACCTTTGCATGCTGCAAGGGGGGCAGACCAGAGCCCAGCAGAGGTACAGTGCACAGACTCCAGTGCAGTCAGCTTATAGCCCTCCTCACACTGAACTGTGCAGGACGAGTTGTAACTGAAATCCCCCAATGGATGGCGGCACTCAAGGCTCCCATGGTCAGGTTTCTCTAGTGGGTCACAACTCTCAACTTCAAAGAAGCACAAGAAGGTACACAGTCACTCCCTTTGGCTGAGCAGGTAAACCAAGAAGCCAAACTGAGCACTAGGCAGCATGAGCTGGTCAAAAAGCAGGATGAAATAATCTTACCAAACTCGCATTCAGGCCCATAGAAGCCAGGGTTGCAATGGCAGGTGTGGTTGTTGATGGTCTCTATGCATTCTCCATGGCCACTGCAGAGAGAAGGGTTGCAAGAAGCTGGAAAAAAAAATAAAGCAAATTATGAAAGAATCAACAACGGCCACTAAGAAAACCAGGCTAGCACTTTGTTTATCTTTCTGACACTAAACAAGCTCTTTGTATAGCAAAAGAAAATCAGGGGGTTTGCTATTTAGGGTTATCCTGTCATTTCACAGAAGAATTTCTGAAATGCACACCTTTTACAGACTAGCTCACACTAAAAGGATTCTGCTGGCTGGAAACTCCAACACCACTTTTTCTGAGGTAAATATTAAATGAAGGTAAACAACTCATCCCAGCCACCACCTGAGCTCCCCAGCGTCACACTGGAGTGACCTTTATCAGGCCATACCTGTGTAGCACAAGGCAACCTTCTTCTTCTCACACTGCTCATCATTCCATTTGCCATCATCCTTCCCTCTTTTGATGTAGATCTCCACGCAGTCCTCATTGTTCCCTTTGCCATTTGGCTCCCCTGAAGCCCAGTTTCTTGCTTCTTCTGTCAGTTCTTTGTTGGTTCCAGTCCAGGTCCACACACCATTAATTTTTCTGATTCCAATCCAGTAGTAACCCGGATTGAAGGGTAAGAAGGTATTGAGATGATTGATTTCCTCCTTGTTCTGGATGGCAACCAGGTTGGTATACTTCTTTCTGCACCACAGCTCTGCTTCCCTGTAGGTCATGTTCGTGTCTGAATAATGGTATGTCCACCCATTCACCCCCTGAAGCACTGTGAGTCCTAGAATGAGAAAATATCCAAAAGTTGGTGCCTGACTTTTCCCCTCCTCTCTCTCTAGAAGAGGACACTTAAACTCTATAAACACTGCAAACTTGTCAATATCTGAAAAATGCATAAAAACTAGTGGTGATTATTTTGTAAACAATCACCTGGCAAGCTTCAAACCAAGCAAGTCAGCTTCAAGTCCAGGACTTCAGCCTGTGAAACTACATCTGATCACACAAAGCTTTGAGACTTATAGGAGCCAGTTATGGCTTTGACAGGCAAGCAGGCAAAGCATGCCATTGCATCCAGAGGTTTTTCTGTGTGAACACAGCCTCAGGTTAATTAGGGCAGGTTCAAAAATTCTCTTTGATGCTGAGCTCAAAGAGAACAGTCACACTAATATTGCCATCCCACTAGTTTTCTACACAGAGAAATACACACTTACCATAGGTAAGAAGAGATAGGAACTGCAAGCAAATCATGTTTCTGAGGGTTTTCTCTGTCTTTCAAGCAGATGGCTATGAGAAATCAAAGAAACACATTTGTAAAAAACAAATGAGTCAAAAGTCCATATAAAGTACTGGTCATGCAATTTTTGCTATGTACTTTTAAACAAGTAGGATTTCCACAAATTATTCATTTAAAAACTGGTTTTAATATCAAGATACTTTAAAATGTAAGCAGCTTTTAAGGAAAATAGACACAGATTTCCAGCTGTCCAGTTTTCCTTTAGCTGGGTAGTGAAGCAGAATATCAGAGTCCATTTCTACTCACATTTTGTAGCTGCAGTGTCCAGGTGACAGAATTCCTCTGCGCTGCTTCCCAGAGACTGTGGCTAAGTGGATGAACTCAGCCTTGAAAATCGAGGTCAGCTCCAAGTGTCTGGACTGTGAAATGCTCTGCCTTTTATTCCCTCAAGTAGCCTGCCCTCCACGAGACGGGAAATTCCGCATGGAAAACAAATTTCTTGGAAAATCCCAGGATCCGGCCCTCCCACACGTCAGGACGGATGTTTCCCCTTGCCAGAGAGACACACTGTGGTGACAGAGTGCCAAGTGCCACATGACCAACTTTTACTGACAGAAACACACAATTCCAGGATATCAAGGAGGAGGAGGAGGACAATTAGATGGAATTAAATGCATGAATAAGCAGATTGCAATTTTTTCACCTGGCATAATGTTCTGCAGGAAGGAGGCGTCAGTTCTTCCGGTATCTCTGTAGGAAAGGCACCAACACTCAAAGCTGGAGCAAAAATGGGAACTGCAGCAAAGCACAAGCCCTTCCTATGGATCTCAGCTGTGCGGAGCTCTCATTTGTGTCAGGTTTGTCAGCTCCAGGATTGCTGGAACTCTTCACAATACAGTCAGGCTTGAAACGTGGACCTTGCTTTGAAGAGTCCCTTGAACCAAATTCTTCAATGTCCTGATCTCAGTAGAGTTACAGCACCTGAACATATAATAATTTCAGTGGACAAGATATAATATTTCAGTGGACAAGGCAATACACTAGGAATTCATGCACATTTATTGTGTATACTTTGATTAATTATACTACTGCATAAAGCTTCACTCTTATGGATGGGATTTAATGAGGCTGAACATGCAAAGGACTCAACAAGTGCTGGCAACAATAGGAGGCCACAGGGTAGCACTCACTTCACATCTGTAAAGCATTGTTTGAGTTTATACAGTGCATGCTGGAGCTCTGATTTTGGAGCCTCAGCCTGTTCTTACAGAATAAAAACCAGTGGCTTCTGGATTCCAAGCTGACATCAACTGGTATCGCCCATTTTTTTCACAAAAAAAAGAAAGAACCATCAAGTAGCCAAAGATCTCTGCCCATCAAAGAAATTATCTCAGAAAAGAGCATGGAATAAAGATTATATTCTAAAACAGCCTCAGTTACTAACAAATCAGGAGAGTTGACTAAAAATTGCAACAAAGTCTTAGAAAGCAAGGCAGTTACTGAAGACCGTGAGGATTAAAAACAGCAATAACAACTGAATATTTGTAGGCAGACGAACATTTTCTAGCAGGTGTGAACTAGAAATACAAATCAAGAAACTCTGGAAAGCTGAGGTCAGCTTTTGGCTGGCCTGGGCAAGCCTGGCTTAGAGGCACCAGAAATCCTGAGGCCTCCAGGCAGCATCAGATCAGGGCTGCTGTTTATTGAGCCTCAAACTGGAAATGAAAACTTTTCCTGTTTGCCAGCCCTTCTCTGTTAGGAGGCTTTACCACCTGAAGGACACAGACAGAAGCTGGTATTTTAATGCACTTATACAGCAGGGCCTAATTTCAACATTATTCTACAACAAACTAATGTTAATAAATCTTGATAGGGCAGGGTTGTTGTTTTTTTCTTTTTCTTTTTTTTTTTTTTTTTTTTTGTTTTCTAAACATTGATCATCTGTTCCAACTGTATGCACAGAAAATTTATAGACAACTTCAGGAGAGTTTTTATGCTCCCAGGCACCAAAAGGCAGAAAATGCTACGCCTTTTCCTGGAGATTCCCTTTTCCAAGTCATTTAATGAGCTTCCTACTGGTAAGCACTCATCCTTGTCATGGCAGAAACTGTGAAGAAAGCTCTGAGGAAACTTCATCAGAGCTCTTTTGCCAGTGGAATCTCCGGAGGAAGGAAGAGTTTATTTCATAGTTTACAGTAGTCTTCCTTTGCAGGGGCTGTCTGAGACCTCTTGTCTGCAGCAGATAAAGAAAGCCCCACAAAAAATAACAGAACACCAAAGCCTACAAGCAATGTGCTTGTAAAAACTCCAGCCTAAAAAAAGATCTGTTTCTTTTTGTTGGCTGTATTCCCTTGTGCATCATTGCCATGGGGCTCTTTTTGGTTTTTCCCAGGGAGTTCTGCTGTCCACTGATTGTATTCTTATTTCCCTCTAATGTACTGGAAGATGAAGGCAAAATTTTCAGGGAAAAAGAAAGCCTGAAAATAATTCTCAAAACCCTACAATAGAGGTTAAAACCTCACTATTAAAAGTCAAAGGCCCTTAAAAACTTCAGGGGGACTGGCATTCCTATGAGCTAAAGCTCATCTTGGATGCTAAACTACATTTGTATATCAGGAAAAATACCTGTGATACATTTTCTTAGGTTGAACTGGAGATAATCAAGCTAAAAATGCCATTTCTGATTTCTGTGTTACTTATTTATTCTCTTCTCAAAGTTATTTCACATTCATGCTTTTTTACTCTTTTGCCAGTTGATTTGGGGATGTAAGATCCTCATTTCTTGTGCTGTACAGAGCTGGATGAAGTTGTTGCTCTCTTCTTCTATTACATGAGCAGAGATGTAGTTTCTTAAAATTAATACAATTCCTCTCTGCCAGAATAACAGGAGATTCCAAAGAAAAGTTTTTAGAAATGCTGAACACTTCTTGTTCCTGTACACTCCAGAATTTCATTTGCACAAGTGAAGGCCCAGCTTTTTATAGGGAACACTCCAGATTGCCTCTTTTCCCTTACAAACAGAGGTGAATTAACAATTATGTTGCCACAACTGATTTTCCAGTTGAAAGGTGCACTTAGGAGGCCACTGTGAGACATAAAGGGTAAGAAAGGACTTTATAATCATATTAGGAATAAAAACAAATAAAATCCAGCCAGGTCTGCCATTTAAAGGACAGCAATTGACAGAGGACATGTCAAATGTCATTTCTTTCTATTTAAAGTTAATATTCACTGCAATAGTGTGGGAAAAGAGAACAGGTCAGATTATGGAGTGAAGAATATTTAGATTGGTTACAACCAATCAACCTACAGTTAAAAGATCCAAACCCTGAGTAATTAACTTTGAGAATATGAGCAAAAAGATGTAAAAAAATGAACAAAAAGCAAATATTGCCTCTCTGTATATCAGAAAAGAAGATCAAGGTAATTAGAGGCCAGACCTTCCATGTGAGCACCTAGAAAAGACATTAGAATATTGAAAAACGTTAAAGAAAACCACTGAAAAATTAGCAGAAGGCAGCTAGGCTGTCAAGAACAGCTGACATTGAGGTCTTTGATCTGTTCCTGGTAGATCAACCTGGCTTGTGCCTCAAGGCTGTGTCAGTAATAAAGAAACAATGGTGCACTGGGGTTTGTAATAATTAAAATTTTTAATATCGTCCCATGAGACATTCTTATGAGGAAACAAGTGAAACAATGCTTAGCTGAAGTCACCATTAAATGAGCACACAAGGGATGGAATCAGAACTCAAAGGGCAGATTTTCAAACAATTCTGTCCAAGAGAACTGTTTTATTCCCACCCCACTGTAAAAAAAAGGGTGCTGGAGGAAAGAAATCTTTATATTCTACTTACAAAGAAAGAAAGAAATCTTTGCAATCTTCTAAAACCCAAAAGGTGTTTTAGAGAATTTAGGAGGCAAGTGATCAACAATGTTTCACATCCACTTGGTGCATAACAAGAAGTGGTGGATTGATTTGTAGGGACAAAGTTTTAATTGAATTTTTTTCAAAGGGGCCATGAATTGCTAAAACATGGGTTTTGTAGAGTCTGCCTTTCTGCTGGAAATTTGTAAGTTTTGGTTTGAGAACCATTTTTTCAGTATCTCAAGAAAATTTACCGCAGTGAAAAATTATTTTACTTTATCTAAAGCTCTGTTGGACTTGAAGAAATCACAAATTCAAGACAAACAGAGAATGTGGTGGGATCTCAGGTAAACAGAGTATATAGATATACATTTGTACATGCAGAAAAAGACAGAGATTAATTTCCCATGTGTTTTTTAAAGACTGGTTCTTTATCTACAAGATTGCATCTGCATTTATATATCAACAGATAAAAATATACCTTTAAGTGTCTCTGAGTAATCCAGTTCCATCTCTCCCCTAGAAGATATTTTTGTCATTCCTAAACTAAAACACTTGATAGGCATTTATTTCAAAGTGCTTTGTATAATGGACATTTATCCCATGGCAAAGAGTCATAGAACCATTTGAAATTTTGAAATAGTGGAAAAACCTCCAGCTTCACCCACAGTAATACTAGGAGAGGCAAAGTAAGAGATTTAGCCAGCCTGGAGGGGGGAAAAGGAGTTCTAGTGCCAGTAGTGAAGGTGTTTCCTGTTTGGAGAGGAGCTTGCAACACTTAATTCTTTAGAAATTAAGAGACAAAGGGTTTAAATCACAAGTTTTCCCTGAGGTCCAGATGGGAAGAAAAGATAATTTCTGAAAACATACTCATCCCTCAGCCTCTGTGTGTGATTAAGTGTGAATAAGGTAGGCAATGCAAGCGCTCCAAAGGCGCTGGAATTTCTCAAGGCTGCCTGAGGCAGTCTCCACTCTGTCTGGAGTGGAACCCCAGGAGTCAGAAAATCTTATCTCCACTTCTCATTTCGGGAATTCTGATGTGACTCAGAGCGCTCAATTTCCTCCAAACAGGCGAAAATACACACTGAAGAATCTAACCTGGGGCTGAGGGGTCACTTGCACTGGCCAGGTGTGATTCAGAGCATTGAG